TTTTTTTCCCCCCCCCCCCCCAGAAAGTTTTCTGCGGGGCGCCTATGCTTATAGCTATGTAAAATTGTCAGGTGTATTACTTGATAAAATATACCGGGTACCAGTAACTGCAATGTCTAATATTCCATTACGGTTAACACTACTGTTATTATGTTATTTCCACAATGGCCCATTTCACTTGAACCCCACATAGCCTCCTCCCTTGCCATCTAATCTCCATAAAATTGCTCGTAGTGGACCATGAAGCTTTAGAAATGCAATAATTCAAAGTGGATAACAAAAAATAACTGACGCAACACCCTGATTTGTAGGAATGTATGATAACCTAAAAGATAAGAGATATGATGATGAATGGCTATGATTGAAAAATGTTTTACGAAAATTTTTCTGTACACAGTATAATTTTATTCCATTTCATTTTAAATTCAACAGATTAACCAGCTAAATTGAATCCATCCATCCCTGTGGCGCTAAAGCCTGTGTAGGGCTTTGGCCTGCCTCACCACTTCCTTCCACTCAGACCTAACCAATGCCTTTCTTTTCCATGCTTGGACTTTCAACTGCTGTAGATCTTTTTCCACATCATCTATCCACCTAAGCCTAGGTCTGCCTTTGAGCCTTTTCCCTCTGGGGTATTGGTGATGTACCCTGTTCGTTCCTCTGTCAGCTAAATTGAATGCCATTAATATTTTTTAACCGTTAACAATTTATTATCATGCACTTTGTTTTATTGCAAAAGGTAGCTTGATGTGAACCTTTGAATTGCCAAAACAGAAGTCTGTACTTGTACTAGCAGAAATAATACTGTCATGGAAGGTGAGTAAAACTTGATATAACAATTATATACTTGATACAATTAAAAAATTGTAATATCTGTTTAGAACATTTACTACTGAATCTACTGTACTGTATTTAAGTGTAAATGTCATACTGTGTGACTCTTCAGCCCTGTTAATAAATAAATCCATAAATAAAGTCCCTATTTTGACTTATTTTGTACGCACACCAACCCCACCTCCATAAGTCATCACAAATTTGACGCTTAATCACACATCATTTCATATTGCCACAGATTCTTGACTTTGTCTGTGGAAGACCCACATGCACAGTAACATCGCGAACCCCTCTGAAACATAGGAGCCAGAATGATCAATTCATTGATCGTGGGTCCTCAAAATAAAGAAGAAGAAGACCCCTTAAAAGGAACAATAATTTATTACTAATGGAGATAGTATGTGATACATGTTTTCTTCTTTTTTTTATGTAGGTGAAATGATATATACTGGAGCCAACCTATTATCTTATACCAAGAAAGAATGCTTTACTCATACTTGTAAGTTTGATTTTCTTCAATGTGATCCTTTATGATTTAACAAAGAAATGGTTGCCATTTCTTCAAACATGTAAAATTTAAGCGACAACATTTTTAATTAAAATTAAATAAATAGTTACTACAGGGCTAGAATTAGATTCAAGCTACTGATTAAAAGTCTCTATATTGACAGTTTTTGATTTACAATTGTTCAGTTTATGAACATTAACTATAAAAAAATATGTCTTTTTTAAAAAGAAAGGTATCTTGTTGAGTCTTATAATATTTTTTTTTTCAACTCAATTTTTTTAATTTGTAGTGCATAGGGTATAGTTGAAATAAAACAAACATTTTCAATATTTCACATGTAAAAATGGTAACTGGCATTTATGCAAATAATGGAGTTTTAGGTGGTTTTATACATTGTGGTCAAAAACATCAAACGAACTACCACTAGCTACGAAACTCATTCATGCATCCAGAACTGCCTGTATTATAATTTATTCCAATGAAGAACCAATGAGGGTTAATAAGTCTCCATATTATTTAGTTATCATTATTTTGTATGTTTTAGAAATCACCACACTTTTCCACTTATAAAAGGTATGAACAAACTCTGTGGGCTGTAAGATAATCAAAATTCAATTCTTCCCGCAAATGTTAAAATACTAACAACATTCAAGAGACTTCTTTCCAGATAAATTTTAATTTGAACCCAGGCCAAAAATATCTACAATTTTGATTTAAGCATTAGCTCATCAAAGCCTGTTTCAACACAGTAAATAACAGTAAAAACATATAATTTGAACTGTTACAGTTATAGTGTTCCCTGAAAAAGGCTTTTTTGCAACTTGTGCTTCATCTCCTTTCAGGTTTTCCCCAAACACTGTTTATTATTTACTGCTTGACAAACATACTCCTGATATCATACCATCAGCAGTGTTTTAACTTAAATTGTTTGAGGTTCTCCTTTTCAATACAAAATTTGTGTGGGATCAACATTTTGTTATCATTAAGGTGAATTTCTTGATGGCTTTATTTGAAATCGTAATATAAGTCATGCAATTCTGTCATTATTATATTCATTAAAATTAAAGTAATGAGCTTTTCAAAGTTTTATGATTATTTTTTTTTAAACAGACTTAGTAAAGAATACTGATAATGGCAATAGTTTCCCATTTACTGAGGAACTGCTGAAAAATCATAGGTATGGTATTCATTTTACTAACAAACTATGATTTTTTTACACTGATAATATATATGACACATAAAACTGTTCATTTTTTTGTACTTTATTGATTTCATGTGCACACATTTTATTTATCAAAATATTCTCAATGTTATAGTTATATGTTATTAAAATTTCTTTTTGTGATTTTAAAATTAGAAAGAAAAGACTTTAACTTGGAAAGTTTAAACAATAAACAACTTAATTATCATTATAGTCTTATAGTATTAAAGGGTCATGATCTAAAAAAATTTACCTGATATGTTTTTAAAGATATAATTTTCATTTTTTGTAAATCATGTTAGGGCTAACCTTTAATGCTATAAAGCAGATCTGTAATCTATTTATTTGTTTGTGGTTCTTTTTGAGTTGGTCCCAAATGAATGGTTGTATTATTTTCAGGATTTTGAAATGAAACAAAAAATAGTCTACTGAAACTTAAAATTGGTTTAAAGATCTCATGAAATATTTCTTATTTTTCTTCCATCCAATTTTACTTTCTAATAAAACTATCTTGTCTGTTGCAGAAAGTGTCCTTATTGGACTCTACTCTACAGACTTTGCCCCAGTGTTTTTGACTCTAGCAGCAGAACTATTGGCAACAGCAGCAAGAAAATTAGCAAAATGTCTAGTAAAAATCTAATTGCTAATTTTTCTACAACTAACAATGTGTTTCTATTTATCCGCCGGATTCTTATAAAACTTTTACCGTCTCAGTTATTGCATACTCAAAGAAATCTCAATAGTTTCTTGAAGCAAGTGAAGCTGCTGGTCTCATTGCCAAAGTACAGTAAGATTTCTGTTGAGCTCATTATTGAAGGAATACAGACAAAGTCAATTCCTTGGTTGCATGATTATGATGAGACAGAGCAGAGAGAAAAGCTGAAGCAAGCTGTACACTATGTGACCTCAAAAATTGTCTTTCCTTTGGTTCAGTCCTTCTTTTATGTTGTAGAGTCAACCAGTTTCAAGAACAGACTTTTTTTCTTTCGAAAGAAAACTTGGTTTAGGCTGGTTGACTCTGCAAAAAATAAATTTATAACACTTTGTGGCCTTAGAAAAGTTGAGGAGCATTGGGTTGCAGAGAAAATGAAAATTCAGAAATGCTTGGGAGTCGCCAATGTTCGTTTCTTTCTCAAGAAATCTGGCTTGAGACCTGTTGTGAATATGTCTAGTCACAGAAAAGGAACAAATGTCAGTATAAACATGCACCTTAAAGCTCTTTTGCTTATTTTAAAATTTGAAAAAGAGAGCAATCCTAATCAACAATTATTTGGGGCTACTATTATGGGGGTAAATGATATATATTTTAAATATAAGATGTTTCTTAACAACCTTAAATTTCAAACTTTATACTTTGTTAAAGTAGACATTGAGAATTGTTTTAATACCATTAATATATGTTTATTATATGGTATTGTAGAAAGAATCCTAAAAAGAAAATATTATAATGTTTACAAATATAAAAAGACACGTCGAGAAGATGGCAAGATTAAAACCATATACTTTGACAGTTTAAAAAACTCAAATCAACTTAGCCAAGTAGAAAGAACATCATTCGAGATTTTGGGATCATATGTGCTTACTAAGGAAGTTCTACTGGACAAGCTATCTGCACATTTGTTCTGCAATGTTGTCAAGTTGGGAAAACAGCATTATGTTCAAACCCAAGGAATATCTCAGGGATCTTCTCTTTCTAGCATTTTATGTGGTGCCTATTATGGTTATTTGGAATGGACATTTCTTCATTATGCCAAAGGAAAGCAAGACTTATTCATTAGAATGGCTGATGATATCCTCTTTGTTACTGGGAACAAAACAAGTGCAGAATCCTTTTTAAAAATATTCTTGGATGGAATACCTGAGTTCAATTTCAGGGTTAACATGAAAAAGAGTTGTGTTAACTTTGACTTTACTCACCCAGTATTTGGAAAAGTACCGAATGTTTCAGACTCTGAAGATGGTTTTATGAAGTTCTGTGGATTAGCAATTAATACAACAACACATGAAGTTTGTTTGGATTTCTCAAACTATGTTGGGATTAGTACAAAAGATACCATATCATGGGATTTTACTCAGTGTGCTGAAATAAGTTTCAAAAAGAAAATTCTTATGACTGTATGTCCTAATTGCATGCCTATATTGTTTGATCCAAAGATAAACTCTGAGAAGACCATATATTACAACTTAATGTGCATATTTGCTCTCTCTGCCATAAAATTTCACTGCCTTAATAAATACCTTCCTATAAAAAACAAAGTTATCAGTAATCCAACATTTTTTGCAAGTGTAATACAAAGTCTTCCAAAGAAACTATTAAATAATGTTTCAAGAAAAATATGTAAAATAGATAGTCCTGAGTGTCACTATGAGTTTCCTGCGCCAGTAAACATTGTTAGCACCATATGTTTTCATGTTTTTTTATACAAATTGAAACGGCACCACCAGATGTACCAACCTGTTATTGAAATTCTGACATGTCGTATCAGAAAAAATTCGGCTGACTTAGATAAGGAAATATTAGCTATGTTGCCTGAAGTGTTTGAAAACATTTACATAAAATAAATCTGAAACCTATTCCCAGATTTGTGTATTTGAATTTTTTTAAACGATCCTGTTAACATGTACAATAACAATTGGTCATTCAGTAAATCTAAAACTGCAAACTGCTTGCCTCCAGACTTTCTTTTTTTTTTTCTCTGTCTGCACATTATTATAACCCTCCTTAAGGCTTCTTATTGTTCGTATATTTACCCACCACTACTGCTACACGTCATTATGTTTTAAAAAGGTTACTTTTGAAATTTGCAATTATATTCGCTGCAATAAAATATTCAAAATATTGTTTTATTTTGCAAAATATTTAAATATAGTTAAGTCTTTGATTTAGCTTTGACTCTTTTACAGCCTGCTTGTGTGCCAAAATAAACAAATTATTTATGCACAATGTTCTCATTTGTTCTCCCAAATAAATGTCACAAGTATAAGTATTTTGGTGAATTATTTTTCAGAATTACAGTTGAAAGCTAAAATTAAAGAAAATTGTAAGAGATTTTTTAAGCTGGCATTTATATTAACCAAATTTTAGAAAGCAATTATAATCAGCAAAGAAATTAAGAAAATAAACAATAATGCTGAATTCATAAAAAATATATATTATATTTTAATCCAAGTTTTTGCTGTTCATTACATGATACCTGTGCTCATAATACCTAGTTTTACTAGGGTAAAGCACAATACAGAAATTTGAAGTTGTATTGAATTTTATTTTATTTAATTATTAGAGCTTAATTTAAGTAAGCGTAGTATGCAGGAAAAAATAGCCACATTTGGGTGTCAACCTTAGATTAATATTTATTAAAAAATAATTTTTCATCTGTAAAATGCTGCATATTGAATTTAGGGAGGTTAACCATAAAGCCTATGCAGTTTTAATAATTAAAAATCATTGGCATATTCATTTTCGTTCTTATGTCAATTTAGAGTTGGATGTTAGGCACATTTTCTTGGCTACAAAAACAAGTAAGCTCTTTTATGTTGATAACATTCTATGTAATTGAGATTCACATGATGTGATGCAAGTGAGATGTTTTTGTTAAGCTTCATCACAGAACAGCAGCTCACACATATATGTGCTACCCAACATGGACTAGGCTCGAGCAGCATGTAGACGAAGCTGGGGGATCTCTTCAGGAATGAAACGAGTGAACTGTGCAGGCCCAATTGAGTCGTACTTTGCCTTTAGTGTCTCATTACACTTCAGCTTCATTAGCTCCATCTACAAATTTACAGGTGCAAACGGGTAACGAAACTGCTCGAAATTACATTTCTGTGCTTCAAAGTCTCTAAAGCGATGTGCAAAGTTGACACGAAGTAAGCTAAGTTTTTCAGCAAAGTTTGCATTTGGGAAACACCATAGCGTTGACTTTGATATAATTGTACGCCGGTCAAGACCTTGCAGACCTGATAAAATTGTTCGGCGGGCCTTGAGTTTTACACATGTGCTTTAGACTGATGTTAACCTGCAAAGAACTTCTGTTTAAGAAAAGGCGTTAAAATAAGATAATGGTGTTGGGGGAAAAAAGCTCACAAGCAGAAACAACAAACTAAAACTATTTTTGCAAGGAGGAAAATTGTATATTTAATACCAAATAACACTGTGTTTGTGGAAATTTTGAACCAGAGCTCTGATATGGGAAATTTATTCTTTGTAACAGTTAACATTAATGATTAAATAAGGGTTAATTTTTTTTTAAAATGTGATTTTCCAATTAAAATGCATGTTCTGACAAAAAAGTTTTCCACTTTAAATAATTTATAATATAGTTAGGCCAACTAAGTTATAGGCTAGGTATAGGTTTACTTTTAAAAAGAACTTTTTTCAATATTTTAAATAATATTTGTAAATATTTTACAGTGAATTTTCAAATATATACTTTCACATTGGCTTTAGTTCCTTCTTCAACTTTCCATTCTATAGTTCATTCCTCATTTTAAAAAAAAAAATTCTTCAAAATATTTCGTTTCCAGAATTCAAACTACCTTCTAAAATTAAGTTGCAACTGAATTAAAATTCCCTATTTCGGTTTTAATTCACATGTTGGTAAATGGATAATACATGTGCCGATATTACTTTTAAAAAGTGAACGAAAGTTGGCAAGTTTATCCAAAGACTCAAGTGAAGCTATCAAAATAATGTAATGTAAGTTATATTGTAAGTAGTTGTACAAATTTGGCTTACATTAAGTAAATCTTGAACAAAGATTAAAATTTAATCATATGTTGGTAAGCCCATATGTCATATGTGCATAGTATAGTGTATATATTTTTTAACAAAACTATGACTAAAATTTTAAATCATGACCTGTGAGTGTGTCACACTTGACGCGCACTGCCACTAAAATTAGCAGGATAATTGATGATTGAATGTGGGTTGACTTGAACTTGTCTTGATCATTGTCTTGACAATATAAGAGATTACCTATAAAATTGTAATAATGTAAATGATTAAAGTAAATGTGGTACAGTCACAGTGTGATAAGTGTGTGACATATTAGACATATTCATGTATTTTATAAAACTATTATAATATATTAAACTAGATATAGCCCGCCAAACATTGGCCTTGGCGACAGCAATGCGTGAACTTCCCATCTACTAAAGTTACTTGAGATAAAGTGAACTCAAGTTAGGCACATTTAAAAATGTCAATTTTGCCACACCCCTTCCCCCCCCCCCACCCACCCTTTCATGATACCTCACTGCACACTTTTTATTTCATGCCCTTGACTATATTAATATTCTCATGTCCCCACCACTTTTAAACTGAATATTTTTACACAATACTGTCAATACTTAAATTGAGACCATTTCATTTCCGTAAAAAAAAATATTACGCACCCACCAAACGCAATTGTGTTATTAAAAATATATATATATCATTTAGCATGGTTATCGGGAATTATATTTTGCGCCCTAGTTAACTCATTATTGAACCACACTCTGGCGCATCTATATCTAGCCGCTTGGTGGTGTTTGACCTTTGCTGGCGAATTATATATACAGATAGATAAATGATGCTTAATTATAATTAAAACTTAATGGACTTGGGTAACATGAGTAAGAATTCCCCCCAAAAACTGTATAAGTTAGTGTTAGCTGTTTCAATTTATTTATTATAATTTAATTTAACTAGCCTATTTAATTTCTTTAATGACATGACCTTATCCTTAGCCTTAACTAAGACTAAGCCAGGCCATTATTATTTATTAAACAAATTATAGGTCATAACCATAAGGTGTAACACTCATAAAAATTAAGTCATACCAACATAAATCACAGTCAGATTTGTCCCCTATTTACAACTACTGTCTGTTTTATGAAGTGAATAACATACTATTTTTTTAATCCTTGTACTTGTAGCAACAAAACAGTTATTTTATTATGAATGTTACAAATCATCTCACATGCACAAACAGTGTTTCAGGCATCCCGCCAGGCAGTTGCTGAAATATTGCTATACTATGTTTAATTTATTTGATGATTCATATATTTAAGTCTAATCATGTTACAGGTCAACACTGCCAACAGTATTCAATTATATTTTATAAATTAAAAATATAGTTTTGAAAATAGACCGCTCCTCAGTATAATAATGCATAAACTTAAGTTTTACTTCACTTTGTTCGCATAGTTTGGTATTTTTATTTATATATTTTTTACAACCTCATTAGTTTAAATACTTGTCATAACATGGTATTAAACTACCTTTACATCAATATAAAGAGTGTATAATTTTAATATAATTTTTGCTAAGTATCAAACATTGGCAACCTCTTTTCAAATTATATTTCATTATTAAATATTAGCTTTTAAAGTAGAGTAGCATGTTAATTATAAATCGTATGATGACATAGTCTGTATACACAAATTTTTCATTCATCTCGGTCCTATATTTTCCTTTTCCAGGTGTATCCCAGTCTTTGTGTGTCTGCCTCTATCTTGCGTCTACATGTATTCTTAAGCTTTGCTCTGTTTTTCCCTGGGAATTGGTGATGTTATTAGGGTGTTTGCAGAGAGTTGACTCTATCCACCTCCATCTTTTCCTTATGATGTCTTCAGCATTAGGCCCCTGGTATGTCCTTTTCATTAAGTATTTTTTGGTGATGGTGTTTGGCCATTTGATGTTCAGGATCTTTCCAAGGCAAGTGTTAATGAAGGTCTTTACTTCCTGTGTAATGCTCGCTGTTGTTCTCGGATCCTTAGAGAAGGATTGTTTTTGACATTTGTGTTGAAAATTCTGACTTTTGTTTGCAGAGTCAGCTCCTTTGACTTCCATATTTTCTTTAATGGCAGGCACTAATGCTGACCTAGCCTTTCCAATTCTAGTCCTGACATCCACTTCGGATCCACCATTTATGTCAGTGGTGCTGCCTAAGTATGTGAAGGCGTGCACTTGTTGTATTTTAGTCTTTGCAGCTGACTTTTCCCAGTTATTCTTCAGTTTTAGCTTGAGGCTCGCCCAAACTAGATTGCGATCAGATGCAACATCAGATCCTCCTTTTGCTTGTACATCTTGTACAGACTCTCTAAATTTTTTATGAATACATATATGATTGAATTGGTTTGTGTTTGATTGTTAGGGGACACCCAATTTACCTTGTGGATATTCTTATGCTGGAATTTTCTGCCCCCAATAAAGAGCTCATTTGCTGTTTTTATTTCTCTCTCCTATACCATGGCCACTCATACTTTCTTCGTATCCTCTGTTTTCTTTTCCAATCTTAGCATTTAGATCTCCCATTAAGATATTTAGATCTCTACCTGGAAATTTTTCCAGTATGGCTCGTAGTCTATTGTAGAAAGCTTCTTTTTCTTCTTCTTCCTATCGGTGAGTGCATAGCACTCATTACATTCATATTTATTTTCTTCTTCTTGATTCAGAATGCTGCTGTAATAGTTCTTGGACCATGGGCTTCCCACCTTTCAGCACACTCAATTTCTACTTCCTCCTCTTCTCACGCTGATCAATGTAAAGGTACTAGGTTGTATCTAAGCTTGTGCCAAAAGATGACTCTGAGGTGTTCTGTAAATGGAACAAATTCAGTTTGTGTATCGCATTAGGCGCCATAATGCCTAATTTGCATACTGATAGATGCCCTTCCTTCCACCCCGAATGCTTTAAAAATCCTTTTCTCTACTCAAATTGTCTAATAGAACAACTGAGTGTAAAAATGCACCTCTGGATTTTGAAATATTCAAAAAAATATGAACACCCACCCCCCCTTTTCCCCCCCATATCGCTCAGGAGCCATTGGCACCCTTGGTTTTTTCCCCACTTCCCAATAAAAATGACAGTATAGCTGGCCCTGGTCATAATTTTGGCACTGATGACAGACTGCCTAGTTGCGTAGCTAGTGTAAGGCTTCCCTGGGTGAGCCGAGAGTTTTTGCAGCACTTCCTTCCATTATATAAACTCTGCAGTTGTCTGAAAATGCATCATCATCATTTTTTAAAGTATAAATTTGTACCTGTAATATTACAGGTACAATTTTAAAAATGTGTGCTTCTTATTATAGACTATAGAGCAAAGTATAACAGTAACAATATCAGTTGTAAAACAAAAGTTAGCAAAAAATGTATTGGAAAAAATACTCAGATCAAACAAAAAAAATAGCAATATTATCTCTAAAACCTTTATAACAACGGGTATGGAACTAACACTTGATCATGCAAACATTATTCAATCTATTTAAACAAATTATATTGATCATGCCACTTAATTAGATAAAGATTAATTTAAGTTGTATACATTTTTTTTAATTTACCTCTATCTGCAGGCAAGCGCAAGGACAATGCTGATGCAGGCACTTATCAAAATTGAGAAATTCATGTAGTTTTTACAAAATCTTATACTTATTCAATACATGTTCATCACAACAATTGTGAGAGCTCCTGGCTTTTCTTTCTGTCCTAGACGGGAAGCTTTTTTATTTTTAAATCATACACATCATTGTAGTTTTAGTCTGGCCATAAGTAGTTCACAACAAAGGAAACATCCGAGTAGGAAGAAAATTATGGCAACTGATTTTTCCAAAGTAACAGAAATCACGGAAGGTCGAGCTAAGGTAATTTTACCGGAGTCTGTATTTTATAATCCTGTGCAAGGGTACAACAGAGATTTGACCATTGCAGTCATCTCTGAGTTTGCCAGCCAGCACATTGAAGGGAAGCAAAAAAAAATTAACAAAAGCATTTGCAACCCTACCCAAGCTGCAGACCATGATGTGAAAGAAGGTCCACAGAATGATGAAATAGATATAAAGAATTTAGAGGCTGGAAAGAAATATGAAAATGGGATTACCATTTTTGAAGGACTTGCAGCATCCGGACTTAGGTCTGTTAGATTCGGTCTTGAAATTCCTGGTGTTAAGCAGATCATTGCTAATGATTTTGATCAGAATGCTGTTCAATTCATAGAGAAAAACATAGAAAGCAATGAGCTTGGACATTTGATGAAAGCAAAACAAGGTGATGCTGCAATGGGCATGTATGAACACCGGTCCATAGAAGATCGATTTGATGTGATAGACTTGGATCCTTACGGGAGTCCAACAATGTTTCTTGATGCATCTGTTCAGGCAGTATCCGAAGGAGGCTTGCTGTGTGTTACTTGTACAGATGCTCCTGTGTTATGTGGCAATGCACCTGAAAAATGCAATGCAAACTATGGTTCCATCTCACTACGTTCAAAGTTCTGCCATGAGATGGCTTTGCGAATCATTCTTCACAGCCTAGACACACACGCTAATCGTTATGGGAGATATATAGTTCCCCTTGTTTCTTTAAGTATAGACTTTTATTTTAGAGTGTTTGTCAGGGTGTACACGGGACAAAAGCAGGTAAAACATTCAGCTGTCAAAAAAGCGATGGTGTTTGAATGTGTGGGGTGTGGTTCTCACACATTACAACCAATGGCAGTTGCATTGCCAGCCAAAGGTGAAGGGAACTTCAAATTTATACCAGGAAATGGCCCAGTGGTACCTCAGCTTTGTCATCACTGCGGGCATCAACACAGAATGGGCGGCCCTGTGTGGTCTGCACCACTGCACGACACAGAGTTTTTGAAGAAGGTTATTGAAAGGGTCGTGTGTGGCTCACACAACTTTGCAACATCTGATAGGATTTGTGGGATGTTAAATGTAGCTTTGGAGGAACTGCCAGATGTACCATTGTTCTATGTGCTGGATGCTGTCTGTGGCGTGCTGCACTGCCGTGCTCCAACCATGAAAACTTTTAGGTAGGTTATTAATAATCCTGTACCCATAATGGCAAAGTTAAAAAAAAAAAAATAATTAAATTTGAGATCAGTTAATAAGTTAATGTAACTTATTATTTGATGTGATAATTGTTGGTGCATTTTTATGGAAGAGTTACCATTTTTGTAAAGTCAGGATAAGAATATTTTCAATATACCATTTATCATTCCAACCATTTTTCTGTTTCAGGTCAGCCATACTAAATGCTGGATATAATGTTTCACTGTCTCATGCAGCTAAAAACTCATATAAAACTGATGCTCCAGCAAAGCTAGTTTGGGTAATAGCTGTTAAGATGTTTTTGTGTGTTTTTTTTGTCTAAATAAATATCAATACAAGTACAAGCATTGATTTGTTTATTCTGTTTATATCCTTTTTAAAAAAAATAAAAAAATTGATGTCACCCAAATGTTATGGTTTAGAGAAGCATACCAATTTAAACAAGTAGTGTGAAGCTTTATTTAAGACTAAATACATTAAAGAATGTTTGGGCTAAGACTTAGAGCTGACAAAATCTTCAGATTTTTTTTTTATCTTCTTATCTACTGAGTAAAACTTTACAACATTCTAACCATCTTCTGATTACTTAACCTACATTTATCTGTATTTTACCAGGATGTGATGCGTTCATGGGTAAAAAATAACCCAGTGAATGAAAAGAGGTTGACTCCTGGCTCAGTGGCTAAAGCGATTCTGGATCAGCAGCCAGAAACTGAAATATTGTTCACAGAGCATCCATTAGCTAACCCAGAGTCACGAGAGAAAGGGCTTCTTCGCTGGCAGACCAACCCTGAGCCTTACTGGGGCCCAAAAGCCAAGGCAAAAAGAACGATAAATCCTGACCTAACTGAGAAGCGTGCTGCTAACCAAGGCAAATCTAAGAAACATCGGGTAAAGGAATGTTTGTCGATAAAATCATTTGTTTTTGTAGATACAATGAATGTAAATGTAACATTTGTTAATCATATGCCGTGCTTAAACTTGAGATATCTCACTTTTCAATTGTCAAGAAATTGAATTTTTTTAAAATTAATTGTATTTGAATTTAATAATTAACTTGTTAGATAGGGATAATAAAGATGTCCTGATGAAAACAGTAAGGACTGACTGTATCATCGGACTTTATCAGTGGATCTATATTATTTTAACATTTTTTTTTTTTTATTTCAGGTTGAGGCCACAATAGAAATGGATACATAATCTTATTTTTTTGCTAGATAAGTTCAAATCACATTGGGAAATACATTAATTAAATGTACTGTACCAACACATATCTTTATTCTTTTATGTAACACCATTTTTCTGGCTGGCAAATAAAGATCAAAGAGCAACTAGATATTTAATTATTTTTATTTGATAATTTTCCTACATATTTTTAATTTTATGAAAATAGTAAGGTGCATAAAATATAAAGACATCACTTTTTTATCTACCAGGTACATGGATAACAATATCCAAAAGAATTCAGTATTATAAAATTTATCATATCATAAAAATGAAAGACATTCATGATAAATATAATTTGCAACCAGATGCATATAATGGGTGCGACAAGCTATGTGCACCACTTAAAAGTGCACCTAGCTCTGCTTCATAATTTCCAAAAATTCATACATCCAATTTCATTGATTTCATTGCTAAACTAGATGATACTTGAACTATATATCCCAATGTCTAAATGAGCATTGCTCAGATTGGTTATAAGGCATAAAAAATTGTATTTCGTAACATACTGGTAATAACAAATAATAATGTATGACAATTTAACATGGATAAATAAAAGGAATTGTTAACAGTATCACAGAAATTGTTAGCAGTGTCGGTTTTTTTAAACCCAATTAAAAACCATCTTTACCATTGATAAAGATCTATTTGTAACTTTTCCATACAAATTTTGTTTAAATACAGTACCAGTAGCTTATTTTTTTGGATTTAGTGTGGTAGTTTTCACATAGTTTTCACATTGCTCAGAGAATTGATGGTGGCGGCTAAAAATGACTATATATCTCATATCTATCTAATAAGTAAAAAACTAAATAGTGCAATAAAAATGAAATCATATTTACATAAAGTGAAATGGTTACTCTTCTGGCAAATACAAAAGAATATGGATTTAAAATAAAACTAGCTAGCTAGACTAATCCCAATGATCAGATTTTTATGCTGAATCTGTAGATACCAGTTTATAGTAAAAACAATTCAAATTTGATAAAACTTGAGTTTGGAATGCTTATTCTAATTTCTGTCTAATAAATGTACAGACATTATAAACTAAATCAAATGAAGTACCGGGGTACCCAGTATGTAAGTCACTAGACTGAAGAAAATATTTTTTTAGCCTAAAAGATTTGGCATCCACAGGTTAATGTTAGCAACTCGCGGTTATCATATGAAGACTTTTAGTCTCTTCCTTACTTGTATCCAGATAGATTGAATATTTATAACTTTTATTAATTTTTACTGAACTTATTTCGGAGCAGGATGTCTACTGTCACTTGTTTATTTTTAAATCAAGAAAAGACAAAGTTACAATCATGCACCAATCAGTAACACAGGCATATTATTTAAATTTTAGATGTACATAAATCTGAGTATTAATTATCTTTCTAATAACAGAAATTACTCTAGTTGAAAAAAAAAATGGTGATACCGTATATTTTACAGATAAAAATTACATTATCACATGACATTATTTCATGAATGATCACATACAATATCAAATATTACATGAATATAAATTATCACATATTTATATCATAAATTTTCACATACCAGGAAATATGTGCAATAACATTTGCCTGTGGATCGTTCACTAATATATTTATAAAATTTATACTGCTACACCTTGCCTTGTATTAAGTACAAGTATATTGTATATATATGTATATATTTATTATTTTTTATGTCAAATATAAATAATTTTTTGAGAAAGGGATAAATAAATGTACAAAAACCTCTGCCTGCAAACCAAAATTATAATACGGTACTGGACATTTTGGTTTTAAAATCTGTCAAGTTTGAAATTCTTCAAATAAAAAGTAGAACATCACAGCTGTCAAAAAATAACAGAGTGTAAATTAAATGTAATGTACATTTACTCTACTGGTAACTTAAAGATCATTCCAGTGGAATAATATATGGCTAGAACTAGAATAAATTGACCACACTAGTTTGGACAACAGGACATGAGATATATAAACATGAGCTGCAGTTCACACCCCAACCGTGATATCCTTAGTGCCAAGCTGTATGACCATTTGACATTTCCTTGGATTTAACAAATGACTTGGAAATGGTTGTTTCTCTATCCAGGCTTTTTTGTAGTAGCTAGAGACATTGCCAGTAAAATAGAGACCAGACAGATGAAAGAAAAAAAAAGATATTTCTAAAACAAGGTTGCCCTTATGAGTTTTATAATTGTTCCACTGCAGATCCTCATCCAGCAACAAAGATGGGTCACATATTGGAAGGGTTTGAGTTTGATTGGGTTATCATATCCTTTCACAATCTGTAAGAAGTTTTGTCAGTAATTTTTTTTAATAATTTATACATACCAAATCCTGCTTCATTTTCAAAACAAATATGGGTACTGAAGAGGAAAAAAGTTATAACTGGGTCATTATATAATACTGTCGAGTGTCATTTAAATAAATTAAAACGTAAAATAAAACATTATTTAATGACTATTTCTTGTAAAACATTAATAAGGAGTCCAATAACTTGCTTGAATAATGAAATTGACATGTTGAATCAAAACAGTCATGAGTCATAGTTAAATTAAATTATTATTAAATATATGTCTGTATATTAATATTATTCAGTTAGACATAGCCATTTTTCAATATATATAAATAGCCAACACAGCCATTACTCATTAATAACGGACTTTACAAATTTGTTTGATGATGTATAATACTAATATGGAGGTCAGGTACAAATAGTACAAGTCTCTTTGTACTTAGGAATAAAAGGTACAGATTTTTTTACTTTTTAATATTTAACAGTTTTCACAATATATATTTTTTAATAACATCAAGTATTAATTACTTTGTTAAGAGGCTACATTTTTCAATGTTTTGTTGTTACAGACCTGCGAGATGCAAGGAACATTGAACATACAGTTTACATTGAAGAAAATGAAAACAGTTCTTAATGGTTTTTAATAAATAGTATTTTTACATATGGTACTGGTACCATACTGGTAAATAAATTTATAGCACGTATTACTAGTTACAATTATTTCCCTTGATTTTCCTCTGCATTCTGTACTGTTGTTCCCAAAATACCTTCAATGTCGGCGATAGCACTCTACCAAGAACAAGTTTTACAAAATTAAAGCAATCATATTTATTTGAACATAATTTTTTATCTTAATTTATGGTCAATCATAAAACTATGCAGTGGGATAGGTTAGTTTACATTATTATTTATCAATGCCGTGGTAATAATACAAATTGAAGCAGCAGTTAATTGAAATTGTCAAAAAAAATTTAAAAAACCATGAGAAAATATTGAGACCTACCTTAAAGTTGGTGACACCTTGCATGTTAGGTGCTGATATCTCCTGATGTATCACAGACAAATTCCTGGCAAATGTTGCAAGGGCACCTTGTAGGTTGTCTCCTACAGTCCTGTTGGATTAATTTAAATAATTTCCATTAGAATGCAAAAAAATATGTCAAACACTTTTAACATAAACTTAACTTCAAAATAGATAAGAATTTTGTATTTTATAGACACAGACAATGGATTCCATGTAAATCTAATGTGGATAAAAATCAATGTAATATAAAGAAATCTTTCAGAATGCAAAAAGAGATAATCCTTTTCATAAACTCTTAAAGTTAAAGTAAATGTTTTTAAAGTTAATTAGCTCTTCAACTCTTACTTTATCCATCCCGTATTTTGCTTAGGGCTAGTTCTCATCCCCCTGCACCCTCTCCAATATCGGCCATCAATGCCATGTCTAATTAACTTGATTTTAAGTAATACTTATAAGTTATTTAAAAAAATATTTCATATGCAACATTAAAACCATATTAAGATATTATACAAAGAAAGCTTGAGTGATACTGTAATACTATCAAGAAAATAATATACCGGTACTTACAGCATGCCCATGCGTTCTCGATTAAAACTGTCAATTAGAGTAAAGACTGTGCCAGTTTTATCCTTAAAAATGAAGACGATAAGAAACGGGATGAACATATACATTAAAACTAAATGAAACTGAGAAAATCTTCCTTGTAAAATTTAACTAAGTTCAGGCCTACTACTATTAGCTATGAGATTCCTACAATAAAAAAAAATGTCAGAGATAAAATATTCAAAACTAGATATAGCCCGCTAAACATTGGTGACAGCAATGCGGCAACTTCCCAACTAGTCAATTTAAATTACAAAACATGAATGTAAAGCACATTTAAGAATCCCAATTTTTGCTACACCCCTTTCGCCCATGATACGTCATTGCACGCTTTTTATTTGACTCCCATGAACTGATGTCCCAACCACTTTTAAACCGAATATTTTATGCACCATACTTAAAATGAGAAGATTTCATTTTCAGAACAGAAAATATTACGCGGTTGAGTTATTAAAAAAATTAATATATCATTTAGCATAGTTATCTGGAAATATATTTTGCGCGCTAGTGAACTCATAATTGAACCATACTTTCTTTCATACATATAGAATTATTTGCAATATTCTCTCAATACCAAATACACTGAAAAGGAAGTAGCGAGAAAGGGAAGCAGTCCAAGAGTCACACCAGAAGCGTAATATATATAAGATATTTGAAAAGTGCTTCATGCCATCCATATGTCATTCTCTTATAAAGTACTTACCTTTATGTCATAGCCTATACCATGGGCTCGACACATCTGGAAAAAGACACTGTAATGTACCACTGATAGGTTTGTATGAAGAAGTCTTGCGCTCATTACAGCATAACGTGAGTTGTTTGGTACTTGCTGAAAATTTTCAATATTCATAACTCTTTAACAGAATGCGACAAAAGGGGGTTAAAATTAGGTGCATTTTATCAATTGGGTAAATATAAGCATTGGGCATGTCACATTATAGGCTAATGAAATTAGGTCATAATACCGTCAGACAGTTTACACGAAAAAACATACCTCGTCATCTTGTCCTGCTAACCTCCTTCGACGTGGCTTGCTCTCTTGACTGGCCAACTGCACTTCAAATGTGTGGGTTTTAGGCAAGAAAGCTCCATGAGTGACATATTCCATGAGTTTAAACATGGCCAGGTTGTCACTATAGTGGAGACACAAATCTATAGCCCAAATTTTCTGGTCCATCTTGTCATTTTTT